ACCCCCGGCGCTCGGCCTCCGGCGGCGGGTTTTCGATGTCCCGGAATTCGCTCTCGGGCTCCATCAGCGACAGCCTGGGGAGCTGAGATCCGCCGGGTCAGGGCCCTGGCCCGGAGCCCTGCGCCTGCCCCACCCCGCGGCCTCTGCGGCAGGGGCCCCGGGGCCAGCGGAGGGGCGGGGGACCCCAGGTTCGCCTTCCCTGGAGGTCTCCGCTCAGACTCCTGAAGGCTGATCCCTTGGGCCCCCAGGAGGGGGCGGTGTGGTGTGGCCTCTCTGACCCTCCCTGGGATACACTGCAGGGGGAGGGTTGGGGGGGGAAGCCCCCCTTCCTGGCTCTGTGGGGGGCCCCGGTGCACAGCCTGGCATGCAGACCCTGGCACTGCCCGGCAGTGAGCCACTGAGTCGCCAGTGCCCCACCCCCAGCTCTGGGGGGTCCTGCCCTGACCAGCGGGCAGAGTCTGCACCACTGGTGAGTTGCTCTGGGAAGGAGCCCAGGGACAAGCCTCCCGCAGGCAGTATTGGTGTCCCTGGGGCCCTTCCTGTGGGTGACAGGAGCGCAAATGACCACCGGGCCCTGCAGGCCTCCTGACATCCTGCCCAGGGCGCAGCGTGCAGACCTGTCGGGTCCCCCAGTGGGCGCTGAGGGTGAGGGCCAGGCCCCGGGGACCCCGCTGGACAACAGGGGGCCTCTCCTCCAGCAACTGGGCCCAAGGGAGGGTGGGGAGGTCTCAGGGCAGGGCCCCCTTGGGCGGGGAAGGCCCCGGCCCAGCCCAGGGTCAGGTGTTCCGGGTCTCCGGGGGTCAGACGGGCCGGCCCGAGATGGGGTGGGCGGCCGCAGCCGCGCCTGTCCACCCACGGACTCACCGGCACGTAGTGCACCACGGTGTCCACCACGTTGTCGGTCACGCCCTTCAGCGCGTCCGACAGGGACATGGCCCTGCTCTTGGGGGTGGCGGCCCCGGCGCGGGCGGGTGTGAGGTGCAGCGCCCTCCCGGCGGCGCCCAGCATGGCCACTGGCACCCAGGTCACGACGGAGACGGTGCTCTGCAAGGCCCTCTGCAGGGTGTGCGCCACGCTGCCCAGCAGGCCTCTCGGGCCCCGGCCGGCTGCCACCTGGGGCCGGCAGGAGGTCAGCGTCCCTGCAGCGACCACTGCCCCTGACCTCCGGCGGGCTGGGGAATGTGGGTGCTCCACACCCGAGCGGTCACCCCCCCGAGCCCTGCCCCTCCGCAGACCACGCCGGGCCGCCGGCCGAGCGCGCCTCAGGAGGGGGCTGGGAGCCGCGCGGGGGGGCCGGTGGCCTGGGGCGCCCGCCAGGGGCCCCGGCTCCCTCACCTCCCTGCACTTGTCTTCCTCGGGCTCGGGCTCCGACTCCTCCTCCGTCTCCTCGCCCTCCGTGTCTGTGTGGTCGTCGTCGCGGTCCTCCTCCAGGGCAGCCGCCAGGCTGTGCAGCCAGGGCACCCGCACCTCACTCTCTCGCCGCCGCTGCACCACCTGCATGGCGGCCGACGCGCCCCACTGGGCCAGGCTGCTCTGCAGGACGGAAGGGGACCCTGGCTTCACAGGCCCTGGGAAGGCCCGGCGGGGCCTGGCCCAGCAGACTGTCACTGCAGCTTGTTATGGGGAGAGAAACAGAGCTGCACGGGCCTGGGAGCGGCTGCGGAAACACACGCGTGGAGCCGCCGCGGGCCTCATACAGGCTTGTGCCAACAGCCCAGAGGACTGCATGCCCCTCCTTCCCGGTCCCATTCCCGAAGAGGACCACCTTCCGTCACCATGCATCGGCCTTCCCTATGCTGGAACTTGGTGTGAGTGGGCTGGACACTGGATGGTTTCTATCCTGAAGAGCTGTTGTTCTGCACCCTTCTGAGATTCATTCTGTTACAAGTTCAAGCATGTTGTTGAACTTGGTCCTGCTTTTTCATTGCTGTGTAATATTCCACCACAGAACCATACTACTGTACACCCATTCTACTCTTGGTGGATGCTTGTGTTGCTTCCTGTTCTTGCTCAGGGTCAAGCTGACAGGAACACATATTCCGTGGGAGCCTGAGGTAGGGCCAGCCTGGGTAACTGGGTCCCTCAGCCTCCCTGGGTAACTGACCAGACACTGCCCTCCCATATCCCCACCAGAACCACCAATTCTGACATAGAGGAGGTGCTCAGAAAAATTTGCCGGAATGGAGGATCCAGGCCTGACGATGCTTTTGAAGGTGTTACCTGGACGATGCTGGAGGGTGGTTCTCTTCTTTGCTGATCTGTGTGCCTTAATGCCACTTTCCTGTCCTTTCTGGCCTAGGTCCTTGCTAAAGTTTTGTATGGGATACAGGCAGCCTATCTCTGCTACAATCCCAGAGTGCAGGCGTGCAGAGCAGAGGGGGTGGGTCCCGCTTGGGTCTAGAAAAGGCAGCTTTGCTGGGGCGCAGTGAGACGCCCATTAGAAGGCTCTAGACGGACACCGGGGCAGCCCGGGACAGGCCGGCTGGGCTCTCTGCCCGACAGAAGCGGGAGGGGAGCTGGCTGCTGCGGGGCCGCCAGGCAGGCTCAGGCACTCACCAGGGGGGCTGCCCCCGGGATCCACATGGCCAGGGCGTGGCCCTGCTTCAGCACCCGGGCCGCGGTCTGGAAGGTGTGCTGAGAGAGGGTGTTGGCCAGGACGCCCACCCTGCTCACGAGGCTCGGCGGGGCCTGGGGAGGCTTCCAGACCGGTGGCTGTCCTGGAAGAGGGGCTGGTCGGGATCCGAAGGGAAAGCAGATGAGGGTGGGCAGCGGATGCCCCAGGTCCCCCGCCCGCTGCCTGGGGCTTGGGGGGGGCAAGCTGGGGTGGGCCCTCCAGCCGGCGGGCGGTGGGCGGAAGCGCCTGGGCTGGCCCTGGCTGGCAGGGAGGCCGGCTCACCCCGGGGGCCCGGTACCTGCGTCCCCCTCGGCCGGGGGGAGGAGGAACTCCACCACCTTCTCCACACCGCCCAGGGCCAGGTCGGCCCCACCAGAGGCCAGGCGGCCAGCGCGCGTGCTGGCGGCATATTCGGCAGTGTCTCTGGCCACGCCCCAGGCGAGCTCGCAGCCGGCCAGCGCTGCCCCCAGGACCTTGTCGGAGGTGCTGGCGATGGGCACGCTGATGCTGTTCCTGGCGCTGCGGAGCCGGGTGGAGATGGTGTCCTTCAGCTCAGAGGCGATCTGGGGAGGTGGCGGGCGCAGGGTCAGGCGGGCCCCCCAGGACGTCTTTTAAAGACCCCGAGGTCGGGGCAGTTTGTTGGGGTTGGCGGGGCTCTGAGGGGAACGGCCGCAGCCCTCCCCACGCCGGACACAGCGCCCTGGCTCCTTCGCACCTTGTCGCCCGTCGGGGGCCCTGGGGGCAGCCCGGGACCCCGTTTCCTCCGCCGGCCCCACCCACCCGTCTGCAGCCGCAGGGACTCGGGGCTTCGGCCTCCGGAGCCGGCCTGTGGCCGGCCCTTGCCCTTCATCCGGAAACGCGGGGGTGGCGAGGTGTCAGGCCCGGCGCGGGCGGGCACCTGCCCGCCGAGGGTGGCGGGCCTGAGGGGACAGGTCTCCCGGCGCGCAACCGCCGTGGCTGCGGCCAGGTGGGGGCTTCTCAGGCCCTGGCTGACCCTGCGGACTGGGCCTGCAGTCTGGGTGGGGGCGCAGCGGGGCCCAGGGGGGCCCCGGGGCTGGCATGGGGGCCGCTGCTTGGGTTTGCTCTGGGCTGCACACGGGGGGAGGGGTTGGAGGAGAGCAGCCCCGAGAGCGCCGGAGACCACCTTCGCCCAGCCCCCTCCTGAGGCAGCGGCGGGGAGCTTGGGGGGGCTTGGGGGGGAAGGGCTCACCTTCTCGGGCGGGTACTGCAGCGCCGGGATCTTCTCCTCCAGGTGGTCCAGGCCGCGGCAGGCCAGGTCGTTGGCCGCCGTGACTGCAAAGAAGCGTCTGCTGCAGCCGCCCAGCCCCCGGGAGCGCCCCGGCCCCGCCCGCTGCCTTCTGGCCACCTGAGGCCCAGCCCCTCGCCCGCCTCGGTGCCCACCCCGTGATGCCCAGGCTGGGCCCTCTGGGGGTCAGTGCCACAGGCCGGTGCCCCCGGGGTTGATGTGGGCGGGAGTCGCCGGGCCCTGGGCAGCCTCCCGGGGCATGGCGCCGGCTGACCGTGCGCTGGCGGGG